CCGGTGAACTGCGGCTCCGGCGAGAGAGCGACGGCGCAACAGGGACACGACGCGGGAATGGGGGCAGGGCACGGATCCGGGCGGTGGAGGCCCTGCCGAATGGCAGGTGACGAACTTGAGGCGCTCAGGCACCATGGCTGGTCCAACTCCCTGCAGCAACCAGAGAGAGATGAGAGACCGGAGGGAGAGAGAGACAGAAAGAGAAGTGGTCGGGGAAGGGCGCGGTGGTGCTCATCTTGCTCGCTGAAGGTTCGGACGTTGGCGGTAGAGGAACGACGACTTGGTGGCGCGAGGAGACGATGCCAAGCGCTCCTGCTCAGGCACGAGCGTGGAGGGGGGACGCAGGGCCGCGAGCAGAGGAGTTGTGGATCTCGGGATGGAGGGGATCGAGAGGAGCTGTGGTGATTGGTGGGTTTGGATCCGGAGGGATCCCGAGGTGGATGCGGCGGCTCGACGGGACAAGTCCCTAGAATTTAGGGTTGCTGATTTATATAGTGAGTCGGTTAGGTTAGGGGCTAATCCGGTCCCTCCGATTTAGATCGAACGCTCGAGATAAATAGGCTAGGGAGACCAAAAAGAAAAACGGAGATGTTTTGTAGATGTTTGGGGATGAATGGAGTCCAACGGTGACAACTGCCCGGGTCGGGTCCGAGGAAGTTTCAGACGCGCACGAGAGGTCTATGCATGGCGCAAAGAGGGGTAGGCTGGGCCTAGGCGGACTGTGGAGAGCAGGTTGGTCTGAGAGAAGAGGGGAGAGATGCAGCCCGGCACAGTTTCCGGAGACCGAAAACGTCCGACGAAAAGACCGACTATATTGTCGCTATAGTTATCCGTTGGGGTATCAAACGAACTCCGAATGCGATGAAACTTGGCAGGCGACCTACTGACAACATAACAAAACCGCATGCCAACTTTCAACCCATTCCGAGAACATTACCACTTATAAAATACTATTTCGGAGGTACCGCGGGCACGTGCAAGTGTGTCTGGGCTCAGAACGGACAACGGAGAGAACCGGAAGACCCGGACGGATGCAAGTTTTGAAAAACATGATGATGCAATGCACATGATGACATGGCAAGATGCGACACACAAGCAAATGACATGGCAACGACAGTGAATGACTGGAAGACACCTGGCGCAGCGGTCTCGGGGCGTCACAACATCATGTCATCTTACTTTAGGCGTCACTCCGTTGTTTCATGAACTTAATACACTAGATGCATGCTGGATAGCGATCGATGTGTGGAGTAATAGTAGTAGATGAAGAATCATTTCAGTCTACTTGTCTTGAACCTGATGCCTATATACATGATCATTGCCTTGGATATCATCATAATTATTTGCTTTTCTGTCAATTGCCCAACAGTAATTTGTCTACCCACCGTATATTGTTTTCTCGAGGGAAGCCTCTAGTGAAAACTATGCCCCCCGAGTCTATTTTCTAGCACTTATTAAAACCAAAAATACCTTGCTGTGATTTCTTTATTTATTTTCTTTTGTATTCTTGTCAGATCTATCTATCAAAACTATATCTTTTAATCTTGCTCATAACTATAGAGGGATTGACAACCCCTCTACGCGTTGGGTTGCCAGTATTTGTTGTTTGTGTGCAGGTGTTGTTTACATAGTGTTGCTTGGTTCTCCTATTGGATTGATAACCTTGGTTTCATAACTGAAGGAAATACTTATCTCCACTTTCGTGCATCATCCTCTTCTCTTCGGGGAAATCCCAACGCAACTCACAAGTAACAGTGACTGAGGTCTCCTGGGTCCACACTAGGCTTACCCATCTATGACTTCGCCCTTTGGGGGCCACCACGTGCGGCTCCTCGGTTAGGAGCACCGTGAACAGGGGAGTCATGGGCTCCTCTGGTTGTGGAGCCGAGCATCGCACTCCTTGAACCTAGGCCAACCACTTATACAAAACGTCAAGCATACGATTTGTCAAATTCTACTCCTTAGTACGGAGGACAAAAATGTAAAGTGGTAAGTAAGATCACTTACCGTGGGGCTTCATAGCCGTCCTCGAGGTCGCGATCCTCCCCTTCCTTGGGTATCTTGTCCTTGGCCAGCTTCATGAGCTTTGTCCACATAGCGGCCAAGGTGGAGCGGAAGAAGGCGGTAAGGGGCCCATGTCCTCGGGCTTTTGCGCCCACATCGGGGTAGCCCGAAGCTGGAGAGGGAGCATGTGGTGGTTGAGCATGACGTTGACGACGTTGGCAAGCTCGATCTTCCCTGTGGTGGACCACCATTTGACCCTCTTAATCAAGGCCTCCACCTCTTTCGGGTTCCCCCAGGCGACGCCCTTCTCCTTCCAGGATTTGAGCTTCTTTGGAGGCCTGGCCGAGAAGGCTGGGACCTCAGCCTGGCCAGGGGCGAGCGGTTCGGTGATATAAAACCACTCTCATTGCCACTCCTTCATTGTTTTGATGAAGGTGCCCTTGAACCCCCCTGGTTTTTGCTAATCATGGCCCCTCCGCACTCCGCGAGGTCGGAGCCACTGGACTTCGGCTTGATCCCGAAGATCTTCAGCCACATGCCGAATTGTGGTTCACAGTGGAGGAAGGCCTCACAGATTGTGATGAAGGAGGCGAGATGGAGAATGCGGTTTGGGGCCAAATGATGAGCATCAAGCCCATAAATAGAACATCACCTGGCGCACAAAAGGATGAATCGAGAACCATAGCCCTCGGACGAGCTGGGGACAAAAACTACCCGCTCCCCAGAGTTGGGAGCGGGCACTTGGTGGCCAGCGGCTGGAGCATGGGCGGCGATGTCGGTGGTCAGATACCCCGCTTTGCGTAGCTCTTCGATGGTGCCATCTGTCACGATGGAACCACCCAGTGCCCCTGAAGGGTCTCGGCCATGGCTGGCGAAGGAGGATGGACTCGCTAGAGAAAAGGGATGTGGGATCAGATCTGGGCGCTGGAGCTAGACGAATCAGTAAATGGGAAGAATGGGAGCGGGGTTAGTTGCGTTGTCCTCCTTTTGCTCTTATAGGCTTGTGAAAGGCCAACAGTCCGCCTCGTTGCGTCGATAAACTCACCACTTCCATCAAAGATGTCGTTGAGAATATGGGGGGAAACAAAATCTTGATGGTATCCCTGAGAAAATGGGCATGATCTCTGCCTCGAAGGGACGTGCCCGTAAAAAGTTTGCGGGGCCGCGATTTGAGGGGAGCAGTAATTGCTCGACCTGTCATGTGGTGAGCCGTTTTGATAAAGTTGTCAGACAAGTGGAACCGTTCACATCGAGGTGTTTGGCCTTCGAGGCTAAGCTACCCAATCTCTTCGGGCAGAGGAACAAATTCGGTCGATCTTCGGCTAGAACCGCTCTTTTGAAGGAGTAGTTCAAAAATTACAAGGAGGAAGTCGTTTTTCGAGCAAGGACTCCGGGTCCGAGGTTCTTATCAGGAAAATCGTCCTCGACATAGTGACCAGTTTGGGGGCTACTAACAGTGTCCTGGATTAGGGGGTCCTGACCTAGCCGGCCCATTCTCTAGGGTTGGGCCGATGGGCCCTCATTCGTGGTCAAGATGGACTCCGGAGGCCTTACGCTGGAGGCGTGATCAAGACCGCCTCCCCTTGAAGACTTGACGTATACCCCAAGATCTGTGCATTATATATGTAGGTGGAAAATATTTCCGGGATGTTAAATTATATATATAATGCTCTGAAAATGTTTAGAACAAATATATATTCAATTTAATACGAATGAGCCTAATAAGGCCAAGAGGTGGAAGGAAACTTGGGCCAAAAAGGCCCAAGTGGGAAAGTGCCTCCCTTTCCTAAGGAAGGGGGTCGAATAGGAGTAGGGGAGGAGTCCTACTCCTCCCCCCTTAGTTGGGGGAGAAGTCCTACTCCTCCTCCCCTTAGTTGGACGCCCCAAGGAGGGATCCTCTAACCTTATATATAGTGGATGTTTGGTGCCCAATTTAGATAGACAAGTTTTGGAGCCTCCTCTAGTTGATCTAGTTCTAGTTGGTCCTAGTTGAATAATCAGAGCTAGCCCTAGCCACCTCCAATCCTCATAATTAGAAGTCTAATGTGGTTCTAATCTCCGCCTTCTAATTCTCCGGCGTCGACTAGCTCTGGGCGGTGAAGCGCTGCCGGATCGTGAAGACCGTATGTTTGCAACAAAGTAGAGAGGTCGTGCTTTCGGTCTTCTATTCGAGGGATCGTTCGAGGGCGGTTCACGGGATCGTCATCGATGTTCGAGGGACTCCAAGTACAATTTACACTGACTCGTCTATTTTCGCTGCACTCTCGGAGTCGGTAACGATCGTTGATCACAATATCTTTCATATTGTTCCTGGGTGATCGTAGGACGATTTTTTCTTGTTTTCCACTATGTTTCCCAACACAAATGATGTCATAACCTCAACCCTAACCCTAGCCCTAACAAAACCACTAACCCTACCATTAGATCTTGCTACCCCCAACAATGCTAGGCACACAATATATAGTCAAGCACAAACATAAACCTAAAATGCATCATATACCTTGATTTCACCCCAACAAGAGCAAGGCCTAGGATTTGCAAAAAATGTGAGAAATGCAACCAAAATAGATCATTCCAACCAACCAAAAGAGGAGAGGGGGTGAGAGAGGTACCTAATGATCCGGATCCACCGGACAAATCTCAAGCAATGAAGAGTGGATCTAATGGGTGCTTGTGTGGGGGAGAGAGGGGAAGGAGATTGGGATGAATGGGTCGGTGGGGGCCCCAACCACTTATCCCACTACATGACTCTTATGGCAGGGCGACACATCCTACCCAGGGTCCTAGGCGCTAGGTCCCTTTTCCATGTGGCTGGCGCACGAGCGATTGACGGTAGAAAAAGGCCCAAATCTGTTTTTTTTTAAAGTAAGATCAAATCCTGCTTAACTTCGTATATAAAAGGGTCAAAATAATGAATTTAGCCACGCGGGGGCACCACGCCGTGGGGCTGTACAACTGCAAGATCTGTAGCCATCATACTTCTCATTCTACGGTCCATGGCTAGCCTGATAGAACGCAAGTCCTCATCCTTCTTGGGTTCCCTGACCTGATCCGATTCCCACCCGCACCGCCGCCGCCGCCGCAATGTCCTTCTCTCAGCCTTTCCACCCTGACCTGGTCAGGCACCGACCTCACCCCTATAGCCATGACCACCCTCCTCCCCACCGCCCCCGCCGCCGCGGCCGTGACCATGACGACGCGTACCACACCCATTCCCAACCGTACCCCCAGCCATGTCCCCATGCCAACACTGCCCCCTACCACCCCCGCCACGATCCGCTCGCTCTCTCCCACCTCCAGGAACCTATCTTTCCGGCCCCCTCTCAGCGGGCCCCGGGCACACCTCCGCCGAAGCGGGCTCGCCGCGCGCCAGAGCCCCGGTGTGATCCGCCGGTCGCGGCCGTGCCACGCCTGTTGCCGACGAGACATCCCAAGGATGGTGACGCCAGGGCGTTGCTGTCGCGAGAGGAGATCGAGCGAAGGTCACCTTCGTGGAAGGACGGCATCGACTCCGCTTTGGAGGCAAGGTTGCGCGCGTCCTACTGCGCCTACCTGCGCTGCCTCGGCTTCCGCCTTGGGCTGTAAACTCGCTGCTGGCTCTGCGGTTTGTTGGTTTTGTTTGGTGATTTGTCTCCATGATTACTGATCGTAGTGCTTGTGTTTGTGTTTGACATAGGCCGCAGACGACTGTTGCGACGGCAGTGGTGTATTGCCATCGGTTCTTTTTCCACAGATCCCATGCCTGCAACGACAGATTTGTTAGTTGCCTTCACCTCTTCTTTTACAGGAATCTTGTCAGTAATGCTATTGCAACTTATGAGTTAAAAATTACTCCCTCCGTCCCAATAATATAAAATCGTTTTGCAAGAATATTTCAATGAGATTGATTTGGATGTTCGTTTATCACTGGGAAGGACCTGCTATATTGTATAATAAGTTCTTCTTTTCAGTCCCTATACCAACCAACGCCACTCCACTAATATGCAGATTGAGATAGTAGCTTTACCACCTACTCTATATAATGAGAAAAATAAACACATCTTTGCCATGTTGACTAATGATCATAATGCCATGTAATATAGAGTTAAGACAAAAATAATAATGAGAAAGATATCATAATACTGCCCCATTTGGTGTCTCCTTTATCAAGTGCTTGATTGATCCTCCCATAGTCCCATGTCATTGCAAGTTCCATCTTGCAAAACACATCAAACGCTGGTCTAGTATTAGAGACTGAAGAAGACTACACAGGATGCTTGGGATGTACAGCACCAGGACATGGCTGCCCTTCACTCTTACCCACGGACGATTGGTTACCGGTACCGGTTGTGGCGCTACCAGGTGCCATGCTATTGCTACCTAACAACAAGCAACACAAGCATTCAAAGAGCAGCACAACATGGGTAGCACCGTAGCAAGCAGCAGCACACAGCAGCCAGCAGCTCAATTGAAGAAAATCAGAATAAAAGAGATGAGGTTGAGGAGAGGCTGTTGGGTTTGGGTAGTTGGGGTTACCTGCCGTCGGGAGGAGAGGTTGTTGGTGCTAGGGGTAGCGGTCGCCGGTTGATTCCAGGCAGCGGCGGCGACGGCTTCGATCCAGTAGGCGGCGGCGTGTTCACTGCTGCCTAGGAGGCTATGAGAAACTCGTTATACAGAAACTGTGCGTGCGACTGCTGCAAGGTATTGGGCTGAGGCTGTTTTTTGGGGCGAGCCGTGTCCCAGACGTGTGCCCCCTTTTTTTTCTTTTTCTTTAAATTGAAAATCAGGAGATACTACGGGATACGCGTATCCGGCCGTATCCTGCCGTGTCTCTGTGTCCCGCGCTATCAGGACGGCCAAGCGCTAATTTTTGTTCCATGCTTCTTAGCCGGCAACCACATCGCGTGCTCAACTGCGGTGCCGGAGATGCGGCGAGCGCCAATACCTCCACAGCAAGGCGTCACGACAATGCTGCAGTCGGTGGGCTACGAACCGACGACGCCGGGTGCTGCTTGGGGCGACCAGGAGGTGATGTGCTGGGAGGGGTGCTACAAACCGCGGCCGGTGGAGCTGCAACCAGCAGAGGCGAGCGCTTGCAACGAAGATGCCCGTTGCTGCAAGATGCCGACGTGCTGCGAAGGATACTGCAAATGTGATGCTAGGAACGATGCACGGGGATGCTAGGCACGATGCGCGGGGATGCTAGGAACAACGTGCGGTATGTGCAAATGGCCTTGCGACGAGTGGACGATGGCGTGACGATGCAACGGTGGCCGGCCATGGTAGGAACTACGCGTGGAGATGCTGCAAAGGGCGTGCGCCGAGTTGCTACTAGCTCGCGGCACTGCGAGGCGGCCAATGCCGTGACCGTGTGCTGGAACCATTGGCGGCAGAGCTTCAACTGCCTGGCGCTTGTGCCGCACCGTGCAGGGGACTCCGGTGAGCGGTGAGCAGGGCTGCAACTGGTGGCTGGCGGTGCTATGTCTGGGTTGACGGGTGCTGCGACGAGTCTCGACGGCATCCACGACGACTGTGGCGATGACTATCGGGGACACCTATGTGCCTTCAATGAACAAGGATGCTGAGCTAGAAACACATGGACGGGAGGCCAGAGATATGCGCGTCACGTGGGGATTTTTTTTCTCCGCCATTGACCTGAGCGGGCGAGAGAGATGAATCACGATCGAGCGGCTGGGGGTGTCCTAATCTAATGGAGCACGTGGCGACCAATCAGCGCCCCGTGCCGGTGCCGGTCAACTGGCGGAGAGTGCTGCCCATGTTATGATCATTTATGTGTCTATTTCTTTAACTTGGCCCGCCTTTGCATTGCTTAGTTTGTTGACTGTTCAAAGCCCATCTGTTGTCTAGAATCTAAGCTATTCACTTGAATGAGACAGTTATCTAAGAACCAATATTTGTTGTGTTTTTATCCTCTCCATAAGCAGATATGAGAGATTCAATATCATAATATTATCTTCTTTGAATTTGCAAGTTGGTTGCGACCGCGGCATTGTTTCTGGCGTCAAAGACAGAGGAAACAACATGCCTTTTGAATACTATTCTTAGGGCTTCATGTGAAGTTTCTGAAAACCAAGAATTCAATCTCCTTCCTTACATGTCGCGTGGTGTAAGTAGAATCAACAGATACTTTCTCAATATACAATACAACTATGTTTAGTTTGCCCATGTTAATTTCAGTGTTCTTATATCTGCTATGTGCTAGTGAATCAATGGTTGGTATTTCTTTTTCTGCAGCAAAACTGGTTTGAACTGTACCGAGAAAGTGTAATACAGGCGGAGCAGATGATACTGACAACACTTGATTTTGAACTTGAAGTGGTCCATCCATATACTTCACTTTCATCTGCTTTGAGCAGACTAGGACTTTCACATTCCGTTATATTTAACGTTGCCTTGAGTCTGATTAATGAAGGGTAAGTATTTCACATCGCTGAACACATTAATTGATCTTTATTTGCTGACATCATTCATTTATTCAATTCTAATTATTAACAAAGTTCAATGTATATTGTACACCATTCATATTATTGTGGTTGCAAACATTGTCTAATTACCATGTGTACTGGTTGGATTTTGGCTTTTATTAATGTTGGATCAGGCTGGGTGTTTTAGGTATTGTCTTTTTAAACTGGTAGGATGCTCTGTGCATGTCATATGCGGGTTATAGCGGTACAATCATGAATACCTATTACAATCTGGCAAATGGACAGAAAACAAAAGAACAGCTGAACATATGAGATGTTAAATGGAGGTTGTTATGAAGGTAAATGCTAGTCAGCCATTGCTTTGTGGACCTATTAGGTAGCAAGACTGGAATGAAGATACAACTGATCTTCTGCCAATGTGTATTAGTCAACTAATCTACATTTCACTACGAACTAACCTCATCTGGGAGCAATGTGTATTAGTCAGTTGATCTTCTACCAAAGCACTATAACTTGATCTGAATGGTGCCAGTGCAACACTTGTTCAAATTGTATCACCGAAATGATTAGACATTTCAGTGTGATTTTTTTATGAAGTGAGATCTAACATTTCAAAGTGTTAATCATTTCTTGTACTCTCCCTATCTGCCAGACAATTAGTATCAAAGGATGGCATCCACAACTAACACAAAAGACTATATGGACTATCACTCATAGTTTTGCTGTGTTGCAATGTCAACTTGATGTAATTGTTGTTAGTTGAAGTTCCCAAAACTTTATAAAGATTCATCCAGCAACTGTATATGTTTATCTTAATTTTCTCTTTTCCTATACTTCAACGACAAATATGAGCTCAATTTGATGTAGATTGTTGATTCTATGTATATGCAACCTTTCTAAAACTATCCAAAAGCAATTATCCATTCTGTGCATGAAGGTGTATGCTATTGCAATGATAGTATAAATTGTTTGCATAACTAATGCAGTGGTCTGCCATATTCAAGCAATTGTATAGAATAACAATCTTCAAGGATAAATATTTTCATATTTCAAAAAGAAGATAACCTTCTTGGAGGTAGATAATGTAGTTATGTGGGACTTCCAAAAGCATCGGTTCAAATTCCCCTGACATTGGGTAAATATTGGCATAAACTCTAGCCACGCTGTTCTGTGGACATGAAATCTATGTGACATATGTGAGCATGAGTTAATTTTTTTTTGAAAAATCGTCCACTCTTTGTAAATTTGCATTGAGACTATGGTGTGCATTAATTCTAAATCCCTAAAAGCTCGTAGAGGAAGCTGTTAGTGGTACCTTCGTATGGCGAGATCGACCCCATGCTATGCTAGATAGAAGGCCCAAGTCTTTACTTTCTAAGTATGTGAATGACATGTATGCCCTTGCAAAAGTGTGGAAAGTGTGAGAACACCATCTCAAGACTGGGAATTCCAATCCAATATACAGTTGTGAACACAGTGCTGAAGAAGCATGCCAGGTGCTGTGAACATGTAATTTTGTTTCCACAAGAATGCTATGCTACTGGTAGCATGTCAAGTGTTGTGAACATGCAATTTTGTATCCACAAGAATGCTATGATACTGGTATCATGGCGCAAACTTAAGTTTGTTAAACCATATTTGCATAGGACTAGTTCTGTTTTGCTGTCCTGGATACAGTTTTATTGTGCTAGCCCATTTGATAGCCTTTGTAAATTGTTATACTTCCTCAAGTCGCTCTCTTTTATCGCTTGATATTTCATGGGCTCTGGGATGGAACTTCCGAAACTATTTTCTATGGTAATATATCTCTATCTCTAGTACCTTAAAAGTACGTTATTTTGAAATAATTTATTGGGACAAATTTACTCAAACTATGTCTCCATAGTCCATTCTGAATCTTTTAACATATTATTGTCCAAACATATAAATTATTAAGTTGCACTTCCAATGCAACAACGACAAAGCCCTTAGTCCCAAACAAGTTGGGGTAGGCTAGAGGTGAAACCCATCAGATCTCGCGACCAACTCATGGTTCTGGCACATGGATAGCAAGCTTCCACGCACCCCTGTCCATAGCTGGTTCTTTGGTGATACTCCAGTCCTTCGGATCTCTCTTTACGGACTCGTCCCATGTCAAATTCGGTCTACCCCGACCTCTCTTGACATTACCCGCGTGCTTTAGCCCTCCGCTATGCACTGGAGCTTCTGGAGGTGCCCAAACCATCTCAGACGATGTTGGACAAGCTTCTCTTCAATTGGTGCTACCCCAACTCTATCTCATATATCATCATTCTGGGCTCGATCCTTCCTCGTGTGGCCACACATCCACCTTAACATGCGCATCTCCGCCACACCTAACTGTTGAACTTGTCCAACACTCAGCGCCATACAACATTGCGGGTCGAACCGCCGTCCTGTAGAACTTGCCTTTTAGCTTTTGTGGCACTCTTGTCACAGAGAATGCCAGAAGCTTGGCGCCACTTCATCCATCCAGCTTTGATGCGATGATTCACATCTTCATCAATACCTCCATCCTTTTGCAGCATTGACCCCAAATATTGAAAGGTGTCCTTCTGAGGCACCACCTGTCCATCCAGGCTAACCTCCTCCTCGCGCCTAGTAGTACTGAAACCGCACCTCATGTACTCGATTTTAGTTCTACTAAGCCTAAAACCTTTCGATTCCAAGGTTTCTCTCTATAACTCTAACTTCCTATTGACCCCCGCCCAACTATCATCAACTAGCACCACATCATCCGCAAAGAGCATACACCATGAGTATCTCCTTGTATATCCCTTGTGACCTAATCCATCACCAAGGCAAAGATAAGGGCTCAAAGCTGACCCCTGATGCAGTCCTATCTTAATCAGGAAGTCATCAGTGTCGACATCACTTGTTCGGACACTTTTCACAACATTATCGTGCATGTCCTTGATGAGGGATGAGGGTAATGTACTTTGCTGGGACTTTGTGTTTCTCCAAGGCCCACCACATGATATTCGGCAGTATCTTATCATAAGCCTTCTCCAAGTCAATGAACACCATATGCAAGTTCTTCTTTTGCTCCCTGTATCTCTCTATAAGTTGTCGTACCAAGAAAATGGCTTCCATGGTCAACCTCCCAGTCATGAAACCAAACTGATTTTTGGTCACGCTTGTCGTTTTTCTTGAGCAAAGCTCAATGACTCTCTCCCATAGCTTCATTGTATGGCTCATTAGCTTAATTCCATGATAATTCGTACAACTCTGAACATTCCCCTTGTTCTTGAAGATCGGTACTAATATACTTCGTCTCCATTCTTCTGGCATCTTGTTTGCTCGAAAAATAAGGTTGAAAAGCTTGGTTAGCCATACTATCGCTTTGTCCTGAGGCCTTTCCACACCTCAATGGGGATACCATCAGGACCCATCGCCTTGCTTCCTTTCATCCTTTTTAAAGCCTCCTTGACTTCAGACTCCTGGATTCACCGCACAGAACACATGCTGGTCTCATCAAAGGAGTCGTCTAGTTCAATGGTACAACTCTCATTCTCCCCATTGAACTTGTTGAAGTACTTCCGCCATCTATGCTTAATCTCCTCGTCCTTCACCAGGAGTTGGTCTGCTCCGTCCTTGATGCATTTGACTTGGCCAGTATCCCTCGCCTTCCTCTCACGGATCTTGGCCATCTTATAGATGTCCCTTTCGCCTTCCTTCGTGCCTAACCGTTGGTAGAGGTCCTCATACGCCTGACCCCTTGCTTCACTGACAGCTTGCTTTGCAGCCTTCTTCATCATCTTGTACTTCTCTATGTTGTCTGCACTCCTATCCAGGTATAGGCGTCTGAAACAATCTTTCTTCTCCTTAATCGCCTTCTGGGCATCATCGTTCCACCACCAGGTGTCCTTAGCGCCGCTTCTCCTTCCCCTGGACACTCCAAACTCCTCCGAGTCCACCTTACGAATGCAGGTCGCCATCTTCAACCACACATTGTCTGTATCCCCTCCTTCCTCCAAGGGCCCTCCTTAATGACCCTCTCCTTGAACTTCTAAGCTACCTCCTCCTTGAGCTTCCACCACTTTGTTCTAGCGACTTTGGCACGCTTATCCCGCTGGACACGAGTCCGAAAGCGGAAGGCAGCAACCACCAGCTTATGCTGAGGGTTAACACTCTCTCTAGGTATCACCTTACAATCTAGGCATGCACACCTATCTTCTCTTGTCGAGAGGATGAAATCAATTTGGCTAGAGTGCTCACCACTACTAAAAGTCACGAGATGTGATTCCCTCTTTTTAAAGAGGGTGTTAGCTATGATCATGTCGTAGGCTAGAGCAAAGCTTAAGACATCTTCTCCTTCTTGATTCGTGATGCCATAGCCAAAGGCCCCATGCACCCCTTCAAAACCTGTGTTAGTTGTACCCACGTGGCCATTGATGTCTCCTCCTATGAAGAGCTTCTTGCCAATCGGTACACTCCTAACCATGTCCTCTAGGCCTTCCTAGAACTCTCTCTTGGTGTTCTCATTGTGGCCTATTTGCGGGGCATATGCGCTGATAACATTGAGAACTAAGTCAGCTTGACCAGGATAATCCGGTCCTCACGTCTCTTGACGTTTACCACTCCATACTTGAGGCTCTTGTTGATCAAGATGCCTACCCTCCCCCCCTCATTTGGTTTCTCAGAGGATATCAACACCTCTCCTCACCGCTGCATCAACTAGCTCCCGAAGCTTCCCTGTCAAAGACCCTACGTTCCAGATACCTAAGCGGATCCTCCTAGTCTCGGCTAGCTTCCTTACCCTTCGCACTCGTCGAGTCAAATGTGAAGACCCTTGCTCATTTTCCACTACATCCGGGCGCTGATGTGGCGCGTCACTAAGGATG